CGGAAGCGAGGAGGCTCTTGGCCGCCAACCTCCTCAGCGTGTTCGCCGTTGCCCTGACAGCGGTCGTCCCGGCTTTCTTCTGGGAGGGGTTCACGGTTCTGGGGACCCACCTGGCGTGGCTGTGCGTTTGTTCCGCTGGCGTCGGCGCCCTGCGCGTTGTCTTGCACTTAGTCCTTAATCCAAATCAGTCTCCTAAGAAAAGTTCTTGTGCTCACAAGGTAAGTTTTGCGTTCTTAAATGGCTACCAGGCAGTTCCGAGGGGAAGCGAATTCTTTCGCTGGAATGATCAAGTGAGAAAGCAAGAAAAAGCGACCGGTTCTGGTGGTGAACTCTTGTTTTCCATGAGTGAGCTGAGGGTAACAACTTTTGAAAGAAGTCGTGCAACATTTTCGTGACATTAAACTTTCTCTACCTGTAAATAACCTGTACAGGTGAGCGATTTGGTGTCTTTCCTTTTTCTTGTTGATACATTGTTGTTCATAGTCCCAGCCCTTGGATCTTCCAACAATTTACATGGTGGCAAAAATTGGAAAAGTTGAGTGGGCACAGAGGGAATTTCATAGCCCAAGCCTGGCTCTCAGTGTTACAAAGAGAAACTTTTCTTTTGCATAGTCATAAGTTTCTAATAAACTTAAAGGAACGGAAATAGTTTTTAGAATTTGAGAACTAGAAGAGAGAATAGCTCGCTACAATTTAAGCAAAGTGGATAAATTTTTAACAATTATGTGGAAAAGTATTAAAATGGCTACATCTCTTTGAATGACAAAGTTTGCACACAGAGGAGTGTAAATCTGGGAGAAATTCTTGTAGTTACAGTTTGTAACAGGAGCACTAAAGGTATGAATCCTGATGAAATAGGTTTCAACAGAGCAAATTTGGAGCAGACACAACTTGTTCAGGACTGGGGCAAAACACCGGCATTCTGAAGCCAGCTGGCTCGTCTTGCACTCCCAGCTTGCTGAGTCAGAAAAGATTCAGTGCTCTGATGTGGTGATTCCTAAACATTTAAGCAAACATCCCTGAAAACAGTGTCTTTGTATGCAAAGCATTTGTCTAGTTTTGGTGACTGAGGGGGATGTGAAACACACAAAATCATTGTGGAAAACAAGTTTTTTAACCATCTGTAGTTTAGAAATGAAGTGGGCTTCGTGTTCTACGTGAGATTTCATCCCAGCCAGCATAAGGAATAAATATTAAAAAAAAAAGTGTTCAAACAAAATTGTGGATTTCCATTGGTGACCTGATCAGAACAGACCTAACCAGAATTGTCTATCAAGGGGCTATGCTTCTGTATGTTATAGTGAATACCCAGAGACTGTTGTTTAAATTCATAAAAAACTGTATGTGTTCTCCAGATTTATAGACACTCATGGACATTTCTCAGATGGATTTAGAATTTAAGATGTCAAGTTCAAAATGTAGTTGTTTTATTTCACATAATTTTAAGTATTACATTTACTTCTGAATGTCTTTTTTCGTATTATATATTTTCTTGACTTTAAATATTTTTTCACTTTCTGTGAAAGGTGCCCTTTAATGATTGGACATAACACTCAGATGTAAAACAGAAATGGAAAAATAGCCAATAAAATTATCTCTGTTTGTCTTGTCATTTCCAGTTATATTTTTTGTATGTTTGCCTTATTATTACAGGCTACGTGAAAAAAATTTAGATGGATTGTGATAATTTTTAATTAATTTAAGTATTAAATATAGGGTAAACTGTTTTAAAATATGCCATGCTATTATCATACCGTCCTGTAGCTGAAATTAAAGAAATAGGTAGAGTACAATGCTATTGATAAGATATAGACTATGTATGTTACTTATGTTCTCTTTTCTTTTAAAACATTATTCTGATATTTTATTGCTCTTTTTTTAGATATCCAGATTTCTAAAATGCTGTATATACTTTTTCATGTCTTGCGTACTATTTCATGTGATTATTGTTCTTTATGGAGCGCCTCTCATAGAGTAAGTCAGAAGACCATATCCTTCTCTAAACGTTTTAAGGGGCAGTACTCCTTGCAGATACTGGTATAAGTACTTGTATATCTCCTGGCACATTGGAAGTTAAAGGATAAACTCCTGTCTGGGGGAAGAAGGGTGGCTGGTTTGGTTCTTTGGGGAGTTTTGGGGTTTTCTTGTCTTATGGTTTTTTTGGTTTGGTGGTTTTGGGTTTTCTTTAGAAGCTGACTCTTACAGTTTCTGTATATTTGGAGATGTGTTTTTTCAAGACAGTTACAAACAACTCATTTTACTGTAATGTGTATGTTAAACATGTGCGTACAAACATTTTCCAAGTTTCATTTAGTCATTTTCCCCATAAGAGTGTAAAACACGCATCTTGTGTATCTTTCATCCTTTTGGTATCAGTGTTTTAGTTTTTAGGAGTGATTAAAACAGAAAAAAAAAAAAAAAAAGGAAAAATAGCAGCCTGATTTCTGAGAGAGGTGCTAATTTACTAATTGTGGTATCATGTAGTTTAGTTTCATGCTTGCTTCCACAACATCAAACTAAAACAATAAATGGAATAATGAAGTAAATATCTAAGTGTGCTTCAAGTCAGAACTAATGTTCTATATGAGGTACACCTGTGGTTTTTAAAATGTTACAGGTATTGGGCATCTAAAATAATTACTGTGTTTCAGTCTTTGAGATAACAGATACTCTGTAGAATAGTAAAGAAAGATGGAAAGAATTCTGGTAAGAAGAAAATACTTTATTCTTCTACATGAGGTTTAAGAAGGTATGCATGCTTTCACAAGTTGACTTAGTTTGGATTTTTTTTTTTCACTAAACCGTTAATCCTGAGAAAATTAGTACCTACCTCACTTAATTTTGTAATATTCCTTCTTTGTAGATCTGTGACTGAGACATTTTTGTTTGCAGTTCTCCTGTCTACCTTTACTACGTTACAATGCTTGTGTATGCTGGGACCAAATGTACAAGCATGGATACGGGTATTTAGTAAAAATGGGTAAGTTCTATTCTAAAGTTTCTGATTTTACCCAGAATAGAAATGGACAAAACTGATGTAAAAAATATATCATGGAATTTTTTGTAAAGGAAGGAGAACTTCATGAATATGGGTGTTTATTATATTTGTAATTACAAGCTTATTGTTGTGAATCCTGATGAAACGCCCCACTTATGAAAGCTTTTTTGACAAAATTATTATTTGTTTTGAAGACGTTGGTTCAGAATACTGGCAGTTTTTTTGGGGGTGTCCAGACACAGACACTAAATCTGACTTTATATGTGTTTGAAGGAGATAAAATTTCAAACGTGAATTTTGCTGGTGTAAAACCATTGTGCAGTCCAGTATGATGGTTGCCAAATAAAGAGGAGACCTGAGACTGAGCTGTAAAGGCAAAATCTTGCACATGATCCGATAGTACCTTTGTAAACACAGCTTTTAAAGTAGGAATAACAAGCCAAAACAAACACTATTGTAACAGTATTTTTAACTTGAATATAATGGTGAAAATAACATATAATTTACTGTGGTTTTAAGTATGTAATCTTTACCATGCTTTTTTTCAAATTTCAGATAAAACTGTTTTCAATGTCAGTTTTCAAGTACTTTTTTCAAGAGTATGTGGAAAGTAAAATGAACCTTTTTATCTCATTTTCACCTCAGTGACAGCCATGACATTAGCATGTATCAAGAATAATGTATTTTTCAGAAGTATTCTATCTCTTCTGCCTTTTTTCACTCGCTAAGTAACAGGACTGTTGAAAGACTGGGACACTGAAACACAAAGAAGCCCCACATATGCTTGAGGTTTAATAATAAGATGTTAGTATTTGTTCCCTTTTAATAGTTTGTAAGGGTGAAGTCTCATCTCAAAAGAAAGTGAAAAGTTTTATAATGCTGCTGACCTATGGAGTTACTTTTTGTTTAGAGTTCTGTAGAGGAGGACAAAAGCAGACTCTTTATAGTAGTTTCAGGTATTGACTTTTGGTTTATCTCGATTCTCAGCTTACTGAAAAATATCTTGAATCCTTATTCAAGTCAGTTATGCTTGGGTTTTTTTTATTTTCAGTGGAAAGGGTGAATAGGGTAATAGAAATGACACCTTGCAAGACTTTAATAAAAGCATGGAGTTGTTTAGCAAAACAAATCATTGCTCATTCACTTAGTCATCTTTGGAGGTTCTGAAACTGGAAATAACAGTTGAATTGAAATAACAGATGTTTGACATCAGTCTGTCCTTGTGCCAGGTAGATTTTGAATGCCTGTCAGTTTCTGTCTTTCCTAGTCTAGATCTTACTGTTACTTCAGCACAATTGCTGCACAGCAAACAGGGTTGTCTTGTTTTGACACTTTCCCTGTGACAACTTGTACATACTTCTTACTAGTGAGCCATGTGACGTTATCTCAATAAAATGTCTGTTTAATAATGATGTTTATTTAGACTGCAAAGAAACACTGTAGCAAATATTTTTTTTAATGGATTGTAGCAAGCTGCTCTTTTGAAAATAATTGTGTTTTTTTTCATTTGCCCTCATAAATGAGTTGGAAGATCTTGCGCTTGGGTGGGAGTTGAGTGTAGACGTGACATATTGAAAGGTTGTCTCTAACTTAACCATGTGGAATGAGGTGGGACTGGTTGAATGGAGGAAAAGGACAGTTAGGTAAGATCAACACAACTGTTTGCCTTGAAAGAAGAGTTTAGTGAATTGAATTGCAGTGGGACAGCAAGCTGGGAAGTCTGATTAAGAATGTAGCTTAGTATGAAAAAGGAATTTGTTTTAAAAATATCTGAACACAATTTAGACTTAAGTAACAACTGGCATTTATTTTTGTTACTCTTATTTGCCTGTGCAATATTTATAAGATCAAAATGCGTTTGTGCTGTTGTCTTTTCAGAAGGACAGAAAAAGACATCTCCTGAAAGGAAGTTTGTCTTGATACGCCAAGTGTAAACAACTAACAGATATTAAGTACCTAGCTATTGCTCTGGATAGCTTTCTGCTGTTTTTTTACATGGGCCAGTGTGAAAATACTGATGCGCATAGTATCTTGTCACAGGACTATTCATAAAGCTACATTCAAGTAACTTGTGTGTAATCTACTGCATCATAATACTTGTGGTACAATTAAGTCAGTCCAACATAGATATTTTGGGGTTATTTCTTCTGCAGAGATGCTTAGCTTTCTCTATTTCCATTTGCAGCACTTGGAAGCAGTCACCTCTAGTAAAATAACTTCTAATAAAGTTACTGCAAGATCAGTCTTGCAGTAACTTTATTAGAAGTTGCCCATGCCTCTAGGAGGTGGATTGTATGTGCCAACTCATTGTAACATGTAATCTGTGATACTGCAGGTTTATTTTTTTGTATTATAAAGTGTGGGTTGTTGCCAGGGTGGAGGGGAGGTGTTGTTTGGTTTTTTTAACACAAGAAACAATTGTATGAAACACAATTGTAGCTCAGAAAATTGCACATGCTCCACATTTTCAAACTGAGTACACTTTTGAATTGGAAATGTCAATACAATTTTAAAATTACTTTTATTTTAAGAAATTTGAACAGTTTGTTCTTACCCACATATCTATAGTCCATGTACACACAGAGTGTGTGAGAAAAGTAAGCTTCTGTATTCTACATCATAAAAAGTTCAATTTGAAGTAAGTAGACTGTAAATAGGGGTGTCTCCAGTAATTCTACGTTTGGGAAGGGGTAGGCCTGTGCAAGCTGTCTGTGAACTCTGTATTCTGACATCTACTGTTGTGACCAGTGTCGTGACACTGATCATATGCTGCTGTAAGCAGACAGAGGGAAATAAAAGCTGTAGAAAGGGTTACTGGCACTGTTGGAAACAGGTGGCTATTCTTTAAATGGCTTTTCGGTAATTGTTTGCTGAAATAGCCTCCTGCATAAAAGCCTTTAAGAAATTAGCTTTCAATTGCTGATTTTTATTGCTCCTTTTGGAGACTGTTTATTTCAAATCACTAGTCAGAGTAATTGTGTTGAAATTTCTGGTATAATAGCAATTATAAGATGTCACCTGGGTAGGAAATAGACTTTATTTGGACTTGGGGAGGGGGGGGAATCATAGGATGGTAAGGGTTGGAAGGGACCTTGAAGAGCATCGGGGTCCACCCCCCCTGCCATGAGCAGGGACATCTTCCTCTAGACCAGGTTGCTCAGAGCTCCATCCAGCCTGGCCTTGAACACTGCCAGGGAGGGGGCATCCATAGCTTCTCTGGGCAACCTGTTCCAGTGGTTCACCACCCTCATGGTGAAGAATTTCTTCCTAATATCTAATCTAAATCTGCCCTTTTATAGTTTAAAGTCATTCCCCCTTGTCCTATCACTACACACCCTTGTGAAAAGTCCCTCTCTATCCTTCCTGTAGGCCTCAAGTATAAAACCATAACTTTAGGGCTCCTCCCAGTTTTGATTTCATCTATTTCGTCACTTGTTTGTGAACTGCGTACTCTTATAGACTTGGAAATGTCGTTTCTGAAGGTGGGCATCGTCAAAGTGGTGTGCTGCTTTGTATTTCAGTCCTGCCACTGCACAGAACTCCAGATCTTGTCTGTCCAGGAGCTGCCTTAGTAAATTCTTTTATGTTAACTAACCTCTTCAATTCACACATTATTTAAAACAGCACTTAATGTGTTGTATTTAAAGGTGTTAAATATTTACTTAAGGCTTTAAAAGGCCTTTGTGCCACTGGTGATCATTTATCATCTTGTATTGCTAGTTTTGCCTGCAAAATTGTTTTTAGTTGTAGTTTTTTCATAGTTAAAAAATAAACCTATAAACTCCAAGTTTAGAAATGTTGCTGCAGTTGTTAGCCTCGTAGAAATAATGTGATGGGTTAATGGGTCAAAAAATACCTGCAAAAATCCTGATAGATGACATTCCATGCAAAAAATAAAATAACCAAAGCATTGTTCTTGTGGGATAATTTTGGAGGACAAGGTTGTATTTGAGTAGCCAGTGTCCATGCTGCAGAGTGGTTGAATTAGCAGCCCAAATGGTTGCCAGACTGCCAATGGCTGTTCTTCAGTTGGGCACTGTGCCTTGTTAATTCTGTTGTTTTGCTTTTGGGCTCGGTCTGATTTCTCCGTATGGTGCAACATTATGTGTGTGGATTTACCAGATGAGATGTCTTGTGGGGTATAAATGTACCTCAGTCAATACATTCTCTGCTGGCTCTTTCACTGCTTTAAGGCTGTAGAAGAAACAGTTCCTGTTTCTGCTCAAAATGTCAATGTTGCACTGTAAATATTATAATCCGTATGACCTTTATTTTGCAAACAACAAAAAATGTTTGCCTTCCACTTGTGAGCCGTTTGGTCAACATCAAATGCAGCAGTGAGTTAGGTGTATGCAGAAGTGAAGTTGGAAAATTTAGGCCCTTCAAAACAAGGTCTAGGGTTAAAGCATTCATGTTTGCAACCTAAACAGCACGGGTGAAGTTTGGAGTTTACTCTCCAGCTAGTCTCCTAGCCATAAAAATGCCCATCTTTTCTGTTGGCTAAAGCTAGGTTTGTGTTTATAATCTGAGATACAGCAAACGTTAAGATTCAGATCCTCATACCTGACTGATTTGGAGCAGGGATTTGAACCCGGTTCTCCTGTCTCAGAACTGTGCCCTATTATGTTCCGAACTTCTGTTCTTAATTGGTACCAAGTACTCAAATGTTCTTGGCTTGAGAAAAGCAAAGCAATCACTGGTAAACTGATGATGGACAGCAAAGTGCTTATCTATTAAATGGAAACCCAACTTTTCCAAAACTTCTGAACTCAATAGTGGTAGAAAGCTATAAACTGAGAACTGGAGTCATTAATATCTGCTATGATATATATGTTATGATTAGCAATGCAAGTATTCTTTTGCATGCAATAAATTTATCCTCTAGCCAGTGTACTTGAACTTGGATGCAATGTTGCCGAAGGGCTGCAACATGCAGGTTAGGTTTATTTGCAGTGTTTCTTTTCAGCTGATGGAAAGTAGCTTTAGAATACTCACATAGTGGACTTCTGTTTTAAATATCAAATTGTCATAGTCATCAAATAATAACAACATGGTCCACCGTAGAGTACTTTGACTGTGCTTGCACTTTCCTATACAATCCCATCCTACTCTTTTATATCTGCTTTTTCCTGCAATGCATACAGTATCATTGTGATATTTTAATGTGCTTAATCAAACAGTGTTTCAAGCCCAAAGGAGTATTTCCAGGTAAAATACATTAGCTTTTGCAGTGAAAAATCTCCTGAATGTGCAGTATAGAAAGACTATGATTATAGCTAAAATGTGCAACTTGCATTTTACATATAGTTTGTATCTGTTAGGAGAAACCTGCATGCTATTTATCCAATATTTTGATTTTTATATCCATTTGTAGTCTCAAAAGTCTTGGAAGAAATCAGATCTAACGTTCTGACATGGTAACTTCTACTGCTGTTGAAATCTTGTAACACACTGTTTCTACAGAGCTACCTCTATCTGGGAAAGCAGCCTACAGATTACTACCATGTGCAGTATACTAGGAGCTTGGTTTGGAGCATTTCCTATTCCTCTTGATTGGGATCGGCCTTGGCAGGTTAGTATCTGCACCTTTATCATAAATATAAAAATAATAATTTTCTGAATAAGCACAAAATTGCTCTGAAACTGCACAGGTGTATTGGACTTACTTGTTAGCTGTTCCTACAGGGTTATGCCAAGCATTTAAAAAGTCATTGGAAGCATTCTGTGCTTACAGTGTAAGGATGTAAAATGCAGAATTATTACCTCCCTTTTTAATAAGTTCTTTGTTATAGATTTATGAGTGTCTGTTGCATGCAAATTTTTTCATGAAATAGAGCTGTAAGGATTTTGATATGAAAAGGCTAGACAAGGAGGAGGAGAAATGTGAAATGATGAAGATGACTCCAAGTTTGTCTGCCTTCAGTCTGGTATCTTTTATTGTTTATGCATACGGAAGGAAAGATGCTTTCCTAGTGTTTTAGTTCCTCTCTGTCTTCCATAAAAGCACTTAACAGAATGCATTTTAAATGGATTTGGATTGATTTGTGGAAATGGTGTGGCCGAAGCACTGTGCTAAAATCTTACCTTCTGATTTCAAAGAAAGGCAAGCATTAGCATTGTAGTTGCACAGTAAAAAATGTGAAGATGGCATTGCAGATTCTGTCTTTACAAATTCAAATGTCTGTGCTGTTTTCTTAATGTTTTTGTTGGCATGAAGAAATTATTCCATTAAATGTAACTGACGTCTGCAATTGCCATAAAATGATGACATTGGTAACACTTTTTCCTGAATGTCCTCAGTGGATGTTTTCTTTCCTCAGGTTAGTCTCAGCTGAGCAGTACCTACCAGGCCTGTTCTTAAGCAGATGGTTTCAAAGGTTTCTTTCAGAAATCGGTATAACAGGCGATACGCTTTTCTCTTTGGTGTAGTAGAGACATTGTGGCTTACAGCTGCAGTGGAAATTTGTCTTCTGTAGGTAGCTAAGAGCTTGCTTTTATGCCACCAGCCTTTCATTACACCAGTGTAATGAGATATTACAATTCCTATTTCAAAAATCATGGTAGAGTAGTAGGTTAATACTTAAAAAAAGAAAAACAACCCAACGGTTTTCTTCCCTAAAAACACTTGGGTTTCCTGCAAGATGTTTCACCATCAATCTGACGTAGGTATGTGTTCACAGTAGTTAATTGTTGATGGACATGAATGTCGCCCCAAAATCAAATTCATTGAAATGCAACCTCTTATCTTGTGAAGTCTTACCCACCTTCCTGTTCCAGTGAGAGGCAAACACTTCATTCTTGCTCAGCTAGGATTTTAAAATGGCATGTCACATCTGGCAGGTTTTATTTTATTCCCATTCTTGCAGTCAAGATTTGTCAGTGTCTTCACTGTGTCATTTGTGCTTTCACTCAGTCCAGAAGTGTTAATGAAAACTTGCATTTATATAGTATATAGTGGCATGTTGTCCATTTACATGCTTTGTTCACTTTTGTCAAAAAAATCCAAAGTGCTTTCTGTCTCCTCTTTGCTTACTGTGAGGCACTCTTAAGGGTTGCATTTCCTAGTATAGAACTTTGTCCTCTGGGATGAAAACAGTTGTGTCCACAAATAATAATGGAAGAAAACAATGGTCAGCATTTAGGATTAGAAGAAGTACATGTACATGTATTTTGGATATTCAGTAACCTAAATGTAATATTGAGTGCCATCTGATGCATCCAGCAAGCTCATGTGGGGCTGCTGGCTATGGCACAGGACCTAAAGGAGACCCGTTGCCTTTCAGAGCAGTAGTGGGAGGCGAGACAGAATAGTAGGATACCTAAAATGGCACTGAACTCCCACATTTAGACAAATGAATCCCACCCACACATGTGACTGTCTCTTTTAGGCAGATGCAGATACATGAATGTGTGCGCACACATGCACAAAACCTAAGACTTTGCTAATATGCTATGTATAAAAATTTCACCTTTTATGCACCAATGATATAAGGAAAACTTAATTATTAAGTCAGTAGGCTTTGATTAACAAAACAAAGACACTAATCTATTAAGACAGCTACTTGAAGTTAATTTTTCACTTTATTTGTCCATTCCTCCATCTTCCCATAGTAGGAGACACAAGTTTGGTAATGGTCTGGCAGCTTTTTCTGTTTAAAACCTCTTCCAAGTCAATAAAAGCCAAACATGACTGACGAAAGTTAAGCTCTAGAATCTGTATGTAGACATCCAAAAAGATATTATCTGACTCCTCTGAACAGCAAAGCACCTGCAGAAACCTCAAATACCGTAACTTGTCATGAGCTGTTTCCGAACATGAATGCTCCCCAGAGAATTCAGGCAGCAGCAGAAACTGAATGTCTGCATTTCCCTTTTGCTTCACCATCCCTACCCTCATTTCTGACATACTCCTGACACCAAAGTTGGCAGTGGAGAGTTTCTGACTATCAGTTCCTGCATCAAAGCAATTTTCACGTGCCTAGATCCAGAGCTTTTGGTGCTGTGTTCTTTCACTTAAGTTTCCCTCATATTTCTCCATCCCCACTTTTTCACCTTTTACCTTGTAGTGTTCAAAATCGTGGGATGGGAAAGAAATCTTGCTTTCCATTTTGGATCTGAGCTGCTTGATCATGATTTTAATCCTCATGTGAGGAATTCAAGAGCAGCCGTAGAGAAGTTTGCTTATCAGTCCTGCAGGCTGCCACTTCAACGGTCTTTGAAAACTGCAGTTTTAAGTGCTAATTTTTTAAGATCTGCTGTATAAGGGGAAATGAAAGAAGCTCTTTTTAAAGCGTAACGTAGTTTTTAAAGTCAAATTTTCTCAGCAAAGCAACACAGTGAAGCACCAAAAGGGCTACAAATCTTCAAGGCAGAAATGAACCTCTTTAAAGTAGTTTGTCAGCGATCCTGTTCACACCTCTCAGAAGTTTGCAATCACCTATCAGTAATTTAATATTTTTGTGAAGGTTGTCTCTTAAATATTGGTCACCAAGGCATAGAAGAAAAGACAAAAAAGCATCCTGGCCAGGCACTTTCAATAGTTGCCCAGGAAGCCCAGCTTTCAGTTCAGCCAAGCTGAGATACATGTCAATCAGGTTCTCTGGAGACACTGAACTTCATGCAACAGTTGGCGTAAGTCTTGTCTTTCTATCACCACTGAGTAGTATGGATTCTTCAACACAGGTGCTGAGTTGCACATAGTAGCTCTGCACTGCTCTCTCAGAAATCTTCAGAGCCAAAAGACATTTCTGTTGGTCTTCAGAAGTTCACTGGGCACTAGCAACGAAACCCCTTTTTGCAAGAGTATTCCTTTTGCTACCTGATGTCAGGTGATTACAGAAAATCAGAGTAGACTCTTTCACTGTAGCAGTGAAAAGAGGAGAGGTGCTTTCTGTGTTGTCTTCAGCCTCAGGTAGGGGAAAGAAGAAAGGCCCTCATAAAGGGTTATGCGGCTGTTACAGATCTGCTTAGTTTGGGAAGGAAAGCTTTAGTGCAGATTGCCTATCACCTAAGTGAGTGACTGATCTAACCACTAACTTACTGAACGTAAAAATGCCTGTACATAATGCAGTTGCAGGAAGACGTTCTTTATCACCAACACCCAGAAGACATGGACTGTCTTGTATAGAACCTAATCTAGCTGGTATGCTTACAGGGACACCTACAGATTAAGTCCCAAGCAAGGTCTGAAAAAAATCGTGTGGATCTTAATGTAGGCTTAAAAGTAATCAGAGCCCAGTCAAAACCAAATTACTTCTAGGCATCTGCATGAATAAAGTATTAAGCTATCATGCTTTTGACATCAGCAGTTTCTTGTGTTAGCCTACAAGTAGAGAGCTTGAGGATTACAATTTTGGATTTACCTTTCTCAGATCCAAAAAGGGACTCAAATTGAATAATGTAGTCTTTGGAGTCAACACCAGCTTTTGAGATAAGAACAGGTTTCATTAGTGATTGTTTTCCTTCTTGTATTTTAGACTTTGTTGTAAACAATTTTTAAGTAAACGATTTTTTCTTTTTTCGATCTGTAGTGGAAATTATTCTGCTCTAGAAGAGAAAATGTGGTTAAAATCTTACTATATGGGTGAGACTAAAGTGGTATTACCATTTTAGAGAGCAGTGTTAAGGCCTTTAAGCCTACCTGTTGCAAAATCTGGTTCTGATTTCTTTATTGGTTATGGTTAGTGTTGGTGATGTAACAACGTGTTACGGAAATACAGCTGTATTTGTACCTTTAGCTTCAGACAATTAGTTATTTAAGGAGTGTTGTAGACAAGGCAAAATTGGTACTACAAAAATTGGATGGGTCAACAATAGTTGAGAAATACCATGTGATAAAGCAAACTGAGGGATTCCTCCTGCTGCCCCTGTGCTCTGTTTGTAGCCCCAAAATGTTTGAGTTTGGAATGAAAAGTGCTATTGCTACTCATTTAGCTCTGTTAGAACAATTTAATATAACCTGAGGTTCACACAAAAAGTTAAGCACTGTGTCTTAATTGGTGTATTTTTTCAGTTGATCAGGATTTAGCACTTTACCAAATCTGGTGTCGACACTTTAAACTGTAGATCATTTCAGAGTGTCTACAGTCTGCCTCTAAACTGACTGTAGCCCAGTTCAGAGTGGAGTACGTAAAGCCACTTCTGTGAAGTCAGTTTTGTTCACAGAAATGGCTTCAAATGAAAGTGGCCTGCAGTTACTAACCTGAAGCAAACTAGAGGTTGAAGGAACAAAAGAGTACTGAGGATGCTGGAATGCCAGTAGAGCTTTGAATAAAGCTGCCTACACTTTTCTGTAAGGCACCTGTTGGCCACACTGATACATATGGCAGTTCTTCTGATGTCACTTTGTTGCTACTTTGTGGCCTTAAAAGAAAAAGCAATTGAGGGCAACCCTAGGTTCGTTTCTTGCTAATCTATTTTCCAGTCCTTAGCTGTCTGTATACGGGACTGGCATCTTTTCCTGCAATCTTAATAGAAGAACTGAAAAAATATATGGTAGTCATCTTTTTACATCATGGTTGAGATGCATTAGTAGAAGCTGAGACATATGTAATACCATTACCTGTATCTTAC